AGACAGACTCACTAATAATTGTTCTCCACAAAATATTTCGCCATTGGCCCAGGTCAACGACTAGACAGTAACCCAATTATGGCGGTCCAGGGGTCTTCACTTGAACAGTTCCCACATGCAATAGATTCCGAAGATGGTCGTCTGAAGTGTTTTGATACCAGAGTTAGCACATGAGACTCGCGAATGGTCGGGGCCAGCATGAGCGGAATCAGAAGAGAGAGTCGAAGCACTTGACCACGTTGCCGTTCACTATTCGCACAATTGGATTGATTTATCGAAATCTACGGCGTTTTTAGGCTTGTCACTTCATAGCGTATAACGTCTATGTATAATGTATTATTGAAAATCGTTTACCATGACGAATTGTTTCAGTGAGCGAATTCTCAAGGTCTATATACACCACCGAATGTGAATACGTTGCTTGGTGGTAAAAAATCGCGATTTGTGGAAAACGTTAACTCACTAACAATAAACGAAACTTTCAGGTAGCTTTCCACCGGAAAAAAATTTCCTGAACATTCTAAAATTTAAATGGCCTTTAGAGATGCAAAATATGCATGCGTGCATTCGTGCAAACAAATTTTGGTAGATCATTCCTGTTGCTAGTAAAAATTCCGTTGATTATTTCCTAAAGGTCGATAACGCTTGCCGGCAAAAAGCAGAGTTTTTCATTATAGGTTGCGAATTATGCCAGGAAGATCTTGAGGTTTATCGCTCGGAAACGCGGAGCGTACGTCGATCATACCGGACAGCTGAACCGACGTAACTGAAGCACACCACTAACACGCGACTACGGGTACACGATGCCTAGCTAACTGGCCACATGGAATCTGTAGCGACCCAATCACACACTTGACTGTTCAGCCCACAGTCGCTCACTGGATCACAAGGTTTGTCTCTTTTTCATGCCCACAACCACGTCACATTAAGGTGACTCATCAGACGTCGATTGTCCGCACCGTCTAGTGAGCGTACCAACTACTCACCTGCTGACGCGCCCACGTATACGCAAACGGACCCATATGTAGGACAACCGAACACAGTCAGCACAAACAGTCTCGCGCGCGCAGGGAGCATAGAAGTCAACCAAGTCAACCATGGAACATGTGTATCAGCAAGACTGCAGAGACAACACCTTCCCACCGTCCGCATTTTCACCAAGGGACTCTCACATATAATAAGTTCCATTTTTTGACTTGCTCCCATTTCGCATTGTATTTATTTTTATACGTGTCAATCATAAAAACTTTTATTAGTGCATGCACCCTTTGATTTGTATTATGGCTATCACCACCTGTGCACTAATAAACCTACGTCGATCGTACCGGACACCTGAACGAACGCACACGACCAACACGCGACTAGAGGTACACGATGTCGGAGCGTACCCATCCATCTGCACCGGAGAAAAGGCTCAAAAGGGCGTCGAAATGTTGAGATATAATGGTCGTTTTGAAGCGCACACATGTCCTTCTGAAGGCGCATTTGGCCGTTGACGTCCTGAAATGAGAGGAAGATATAATTAAGTTATCGAAGTATCGTCATATCACCATAAAGCCGACAAACTGGTATAGATACTTACCCCAAAAATTCACTCCAGCGACCATGTTGTCGTAGATGCCTGTCCACACAATGCCATCTTCAGTGGTTACTTCGCATGCCTGTTTACTGCAACTCTCGAGAAATACGAGACTTACACGAAATGCATGGAGTCTCATCAACATACCAACTGTCCGAATCTGATGGGTCACATGAAGTCATCTTCGTATCTTTCATCTAGCCGGCTCTCTAGAGCGTTAGTCAGTAGTTGTCAGACATTTGCAGCGACCCTGTTACCCACATACCTGACTGTTCAACTCACACTCGCTCACTGGTTCGCAAGGCTTGTCTTTCTTCTCATACTCACAAACACGTCACATTAAGCTGACTCATCAGACATCGATTGTCTGCACCGCCTGGTCAGCTTAGTAACTACTCATGTACCGACGCGCCCACGTACACGCATTGAGACCTACATAAAGGGAAACCGAACCCGGTCAGGACACAGACTCGCGCGCGCAGGGAAAAAGGTGCCACCCGACACTCCCAGCCCACGTACAACCATGGAAAACGTGTAGCAGCCAAACTGCGGAGAAAACACGTCCCCGCCGTCCGGGCTTTCACCAAGGGACTACCACATCCGATTACTTCCATTTTTTCACCCGCTCCCATTTCGCACTGTATTTATTTTTATACGCATCGCAACCATACTAAAAACTTCCATTAGTGCTCATACACTTGATTTGTGTTATGACTATCCTCACCTATACACTAGTACATTTACTCTTGGCTGTCTAGTAGTTCCTCTCTTGAACTGAAAACACGGACGCACGCAGGATTTCGGGGCACACTGCGCTGAGATTCTGTGCTTAGGTCCAGGTCAACATCACAAGACGCCCTCTTTGCGGACCCGGTAGCAAGCACACCTCTGCATTTTCTGGATGGACCCGGAGCTAAGAACCAAAAGTAACTTATTTTCATTTAAACTCATCTTTGGGACAAGCACCACCACACAGCGGGCGAGGTTCACCATCACAACAGTCGGCGTGATATGATGCGCAATACGTTGCACAACAGCGTAGTTGTCGGCCAGTCACAGAGCACACGAAAGCCTACAATCCTAGACCGCCATCTGGGTTGAGGTGCAGGAACCTTGACAACCAATGGCGGGCAGTTTTTGCAGATTTTGCACTTTGACGTAGCAGGATCTGTCCCTGAAAAATCAATCGCTTAAAGACGGCTGTGGCTCTCCTGGGTTCCAGCCTCTAAGGCTTATCCATCGCTCCTTTGAGTTGTTTACGAAGGCCGTCGAAATCTGTCGGCGGTGGTTTGGGAACAAGTGTAAGGGGTATACCTTTTTCCGGTAGCTTGTAATCCGACGGTTATCGTTGGTGGATTGGGAAGCAAGCTAAGAAAAAGTCAATGATGAATAGTCATGCGTTGGAGCCACATCGCATGGTAGAAATGTCTTATGCCTTCTCCAGCACAGTTGTCGACAGTCTGGGAGCATCTGGGCGTTTGCACCACAAACTGTAAGTTAGTTTACGTAGCTCGACCTCACCTTGTTTGTTATGACACTTTCATAGGGTAGCCGCGGCAGTCGCGGACCCAGGTGCCTCAAAACAAGAGAGCATGCATACATCGTCATTCGACAGACTACGTTTAGAACGTAGGTGTCACCCTCCAGGATTTGCCGCCTGTCGCAGTGGTACGACGTATGCATCTCAAATTCCCGCATGAGCCACTCGGCGTGCCAGGACACCTTTTGAATGGCATGCTCCAACACGTCTGAGTGGTGCGCCCGAACTTCAGGGCGCCCGTTCGCGTTCTCCAATCGGTTGTCTGTCACATTACCGAAGTGAACCATTCCGGACTGTGCGTGTATGGCTCATTTTCCGGTGATGTACAACCAGCGAGCCGTGAGATAGGAAAGAAATCTAGGGTCGGTTCGGCGCAGAAGTTGTAGGTCTTGTAGGAATCTGTGTACTTGTAATACGATGAACATAAAACCTACTGTACAGCTTTGTCCAGGCAAGCCACGCGGTGAATTATGTGCCCGCTGTTCGCAGAATGTGTCTATGACCAAAAATACATGGATTTGCGGACATGAATTAGCAAAGCATAACGTCACAGCCGAACACGACTGTTGCTGCACGCATTTGCGCCGCCAACTTGTCCATTACAAATGTCCGATCCGGATAAGCTTCGACAGTCATTTCTTTGAACAAGCCAAACAGCTCACACAGGAGCAAACTGCTCACTTTCTACGAATACATACATAACCGGGCGCCCGGTTTCCGCGCCGTCTGTTATCAAGAAGGTTTACAGCTTATATTTACACGGCGGATATTAGATGCTTTAAAAAGCTTACCCAAGGCGGTCTGTTGCATGCTTCCCGCGTACATTCACTACACCTTGAAAGCATCGGAACAACGCTATCCGCTGCTATCGGGAGAAGCATACATGGCTATAGTGCCCTTCCCCTGACTGGCACAAAATGAGGCGCATGGTCTTCCAAAGTTTTGGCAGGACCGAAGGCATACCGGCTGCCACATTTAAACCCAACTATGCGGCACCTACTCAACATAGCCGGTCGACACTTCCGATGGTAGTTGTATATATCCTGAGTGGTAAGAATGTTGCCGAATTCATCCGCCACAAACTGCCGCACCTCACATGACGGCGTTCCATATTGAAGAAGGGCCTTGCATGTGCACAACTGGTCTTCAGTTGGGCGTCGATTAACTGGAAGCCGATCGTACAGAACCTTTGACAATTTTTGGTTGTGTTCAAGAAAATAATAACTCATTTGCCCCGTAGACAAAACCGCACTGGACAGCTGGCGCTTCGCGCACTTTTTTAATTAGCAAATACGCTCGGCGTACTAACTTCTTCGGATCCCACGGCTTTTCGTTGGTCTTGGAGGGCGCCTGCTGCATTTGTAGTACACCCATTCGTAACGCAAAATAGCGTTGGTGCTTCGATCACTGGATGAACACATAAATGAAAACGATACACCCACAAATTGCTCAGCAAACGATTTTGAAGGCACTCCCGAAGCCGTAGCACACCAAGTTCGAGGCTGAATTTTCGCCAGTATTTTTCAAGGGAGTTTAATTAATACAAAGCGCGAAAAATTGATAGCAGTTGAGGGATTTTTTGACTGAGCACATGTGCAAAGGAGTGAAGCATTTTGGCGTTAAAGTTTTTATTTCTCACAGGGATTTCGCAGAAAAATGCTTTGTGCTTCGAAGGCGCAGCAACCACGTTTGTATTGCGTGAACTTTTCTAAAAGTGCGTGCTTTTGTAGTTTCTCGTATTCAAACAAGAAACGACTATGCAATTGTCGAAATACGCAGTGTTATAATAAAAGCAAAAAATGTACAAAACACCGCACCATTCTCCAACAGGCTATTGGAACGTCGGTTCAGGAGATGTCCAATTCTCAAGACTGCGGAAGAATGCAGATAGGTGAACTTGGTCACCGTCTCTGGTGGTTCTGGCGCTGTGATTGGCTGGTAATGCACCCGTCCAATCGCGTAAATCTTGCGAATTGCTCTTTGGAGGTGCCAGACACGCTAAAGCACATGGTGTGTTCACTTGGGTTGTTAATTGTAGTTTTCCAGGAATAAGCTCCACACCAGGAATATCGCTATTACCACAACTTTTCGATTCTTCATTTTTGTGACCTGTGAGGAGTTCGTGAGAGACTTCATAGGATTTTAATGACACATAGCCCTACTTTGGTTTATGTGCGCTGCAACAGTTTTTCAGTGTTTTCTCCAGTTTCACTCCGTCTTTGCCTAAGGTGTAACGTTTTTTAAAATGTAACCCCCGGCGACACGGCTTCTAACCGCTTGTGATGCGAGTGTTATTGTTACAAATCAGTGATACCTAAAGCGCCATCCAGCGACTGTGTAACTATACGGTCGCAAATGAGGTATACATTGTGCTGGTCCAATTTGTATGGGACGAACTAACGAGATTGTTTACGAGGTTGTGTTAATAGCATCAGCCCCACACTAGAGGCATAGAACACGGCGGACGTTTCTTCGGTAAGTAATTTGATTGAGAAACTGATGAAGAAAGCCGACATTGAGCAACCCATTTTGGGCGATGAATTCAGGAAAACGCTATACGCAGACTTTGATGCGTTTATCAGTGATGGTCTATATGGATTAAGGAGCTGTGGTGGGGATTTTCGGTGACCCTTTGAATGTCAGACACTGCGTCACAAAGCAGTGCTATCGACGGAGACGGACGCTGAATTCATTTTTAAGGATCCTTACACAGAGGGCCAACAATTGTTCTCGGGAACTATTGGCCTTCTGTGTATGTGGCGATGCTCGGAATGTTGTCGTAAGGCGGTGTGGTTAAGTGTACACACGACCCGCAAAGGACCATGCCTCTCATGGGTGCTAGTAAAGCTGCGTACCACGATACATGCGAGCAACTTATAAATTTCTTCCGCATTCCAAATGCTCTGTATGTGTTTTATCGGGCTGTGAACTAGTCATTCTACATCTCTAAACAAGGCAAAGAGAAGACGGTCGTGACCAGATGCTTTGTTTCTGTTCAACAGTTTGATTTCGTTTTGGTGTGAGGGTGTGTGAAGATACTATCGCATTGATCGTCAACCTGGGCATATCAAACCAGCTGATTTATCCTTCGAGGTGTTTCTTCCATCGAAACAGGCAGCGGAACTTGGAATAAATCTTTTAGTCGTCCTGTGTAGTGACTTAACTTACCAGCCTCTTTCATGCCCCGGTATTACAAATAATTTAGGTGTCACACTTTTCAATCGTGGCTGCTTTTCCTGTTTCTTCAGCTTCTCTTAGCAACCACTGATCACCTTTGATATTGCGGGTCAAGCGTCGTTTCAGAGCTCTATATGAATCATGCTGGTAAGACCACGTTCCCCGCCCAAATCAGGGAGACGAGGTGGTTTGACTTAAATTGGGCTCGTTTTGGGCCGCACACATTCAGGTGCCAAATGCATAGCGTTTCGGATTTCGAAGCAGTCCATATTAGCCTAACCGGGTTGTTTTCTAGGTCGTGCAGATAACTAATACGGGCGGTTATCGATCCGACTGATTTTGCTAGTTTGTCCTTTCATACTTCGTTTCCAGATCACAAACTTTCCACCTTTTGGTCGGTTCCACTCACCGCAGTGCAAAAGCTGCACTAGTTTCCATGATTCAATAAGTGATCTTGTCTCCACTCTGTCCACCGGTACTCACCCAGTCGCCCAGGTAAATACATCCATTTGTTGGTCTGCAAGCATGAGGTTTGGGTTTGATTCCAACTATTCTTGTAGCTATGCTTTGCAGATGTGAAGCACATCAAACCATACAGCAGATCTGTTTAGTTTATTTAAAATGATTTGCATTTCTGAGGGACCTGAACCAAGGAAAGCCGTATAGTCTACACACTGTCTGTTAGAGAACTTCTCGGAAGTATTTCGACCTGTGAGGTCCTAGTGGCAGGCAGAGGAATTTCAGGCAACTCATCAGTAACAAAGTTTGGGAGGGGGAAGGTGATAGGGGACGTAGTGAACTCAGGGGAAACCCTGATGTATATCCGTCCACAGGAGTTCGCATACACTACCCCCAGATTTGAACGTCAGACACCATCAAGGTTTCTGCAATTGACAGTCAGCAACAGCCTTCAGATTATAAAGAACGTCAAATGTAGGATGTTTGAAGGGACGGTGTTTGGAAGCTTGCTTCAAGGTAAAGATCTGGTAGATGCATCCTCTGATAGGGTGTAACAGCTTGATTCTTACGAATCTGTCTCACCTAATAGTCTATAAACCTGCGCAAAATTATGCCAGAGAGCACCTTAGATAGGACGGATACCAAGATCATACCTCGATCTTTTTCGCATGGCGTTTTCCACCCTTTTCGAAGACGATGATCATGATTGAGGCACTCCATCCAATTGGTACTTTGTTCTCGTCCCAAATCTTTTGCAGTAGGATCGTCAGATTACCTACAAGTGCTTCACCACATTCTTTGAAAAGTGTGGTATGCAGGCCAGTGTGGTCGGGTTCATTGTCACATTGGAGGAATGATATCTCCTACTGGATTTCTGTTGTAGTTGACGGGCTGGTGCCTATGTTCCATTCGGGCTCGCTGCGTTCTTTCAGCTGTTGTGTTGAAGGAAGCCGGATGAAGTGTTCTTTAAGGTGTTCAGTCCACAAGCAGGAATGACGGCTTTGCGAGTGAATTGCCATGCCGTCGCGTTCATATATTGTTTCGTTGGTGCCTTTCTCATCTGTCCGGTCGATCCAGGCAGTTGAAGTAGGACGCCGGTATTGCCTGAAGTGAAAGCCTCAATCTTCTGGGCCTTCGAAATCCACCAACGTTCTCTGTCATTCCTCAGGCTTGTGGTCATCCGGCGTTTGAGGGATCTGCGTGCGACGTCACAGTCACTACTTGCATGTATGACCTTTTTGGTAGCGAATAGATCTGCTGATCTTGAGGAAATTCAGGTTTCATTTACTCGAGTCGGACGATTGGACAGACAGTTCTGAAAGCTTAGACCATAACTTCTTTAATTCGCTTCCCTTCAACCTCCAAGGAGTCTTGGTCATCCGCATGACTGTATCTCCGGTAGATTTCTAGCTTGATAAGCTCGATACGCTTGAGCTACGAAATTTGTTGATTA